GGCGATAGCGAGAGCAAAATCAGGCCTTATGCCGACAGGCGCATTGGGGCTGAATGTGTTTATCCTGGGGTTTGAAGACATGTCACGGATGATGTTCAAAGGAAGGCTGAAACGAACGTACAAGTTTCTCACTGATGACCTCAAGGCGATCGTCCTGGAAGGGTACAGCACCGTTAGTGAGGAAGCAGAAAAAGCTTTGACAGCTCTTCTCACTGGGAGTCAAAACTCTGAACTATTCAAAAATCGAAAAGGACCTCTGAACGCCTCCGTCGATGCTCGTCGATATGTTTGGAACGATTTCATGGACATCGGCTACATTACGTTTTACGGTGAAGACTTCGCCGACTGTGGTGCATTCAAAATGCCCCTGAGAGGATTCTTTGAGCAACCAACTGATCATTATCGGCGAATTTCTTGTCGCATGGAAAAATCAGGGCAACACATAACTAATAGACACTTATGTATCGGCAGTGATCCCGATCAGAAGACGCATTTTGCATATTTTCAAAACTTTGTTACTTCTTACCTCAATGAAAAAGACACTCGAGTCTTTGCGATCTCACTTCATTCGGTTCTGAGCACCGGCAGTAGAGAAAACGATGAACTTGCGGATGACGATGCGGTTCAACTTTTGATGTTACTCCTAAGTAAGTTTCTAGTTGTAATCATTATCTAAGCCATTTGCCATTTGCTGATGCTTTTCCATGCTTAATGCATGTATCGGTATCAGTGGTATGAATTTCTATGAATAATGCTATTGCTCTGAATAACTTTACAATAATTGCAGTGTGACTGTCATATTTTGGTTCAAAGACAATACGCCGCTTTCACTCATTCCTGAACCATCACCAGATTTGTGATTCTTGTCTCCGTTCAACATGCGATTAATTACGCAATTGCTTTGTCCGTCTAACCCTCCATCCAACCATTCATTCGTTCGTCTCTCTCTGCTGATCCAGCTACTACCCCCAACCGTCTATTCTATTGATTTATGAAGGCGAAAGTACAAGAAGAATTTATAATGTTATATTCCTTATTTTGCTTCTTTGCCGCCGTCTATTAAGCGAATCTCTCCTCTTGCATGCTGATCTTGTAGTGAATCTTTCATAGTAATGACCTCGATGGGAAGAAGCAGTGATTGATATAATCGAAACCAGATTTTTATATCAAATGCTATTTACGTACTTTATGTCACTTGGATCATTTGGGTCCCAGGCCGACCGCAACTCCTTCGCTTCCGGGCTTTCTTCCTCAGAACGCGATTTTCCGGCTCCCGACATAATTTTCAAATCGTCGTGGTGGGCGACCAAAACAGCTTAATCGGCCCCTGAGGTGCCAGTCAACAATGATCATCGACCATCTGCCACTTCTGAGCGTTGCCACGTGTCCGGTCCACCATAGCTTCTCCCTTCTGCAATCCAAGACAACGTCTTTCACTCCTGTCCGCTGTTTGATCCCCGAGTTGGGGATATGGTCACTAAGGCAAATTCCAGACATTCTTCTTCTCATGATCCAAACGTTGATAGATAACTGAGGCTCGGCTTTCGTGAGTGACTACGTTTCAGAGCCACACAACAGTGTCGTCAGGACGGTAACCCTGTATATGGGAATGTCCTTGATGGAATGCAGCACACGTTAACAGGTCCTCTTTCTTCGCTAAATGTCTCTAGCCAGATCACGGTTCATATTGACACCTTGGCCAAAGTGACCATATATAATCACTTCGATCTTTTCTCCGTTTCATATTACCTGAGCCTTCTGCAGGGAATCAGGTTGCAGTTTCTTCGTTGTTAACCGATGGATTCGCAGTCTGACTTCTGCACTTATTTGCTCGAACTTATGCAGCTCGTTTTGTAGATCTCTGGTGTTTTCAGCAAACAGCATTACATCATCAGCGAACGTTAGGTGGTTGAGCCCGTCAAAATGTCATTGACCCGATCTTTTTGATTTATCGCATGGAGCAGAGAGCAAAGCGTTTAGAGAAGACGGTGTCCCCTGTTTAACGTCCTTCTTTACGAAATTGCATACGGGTGTTAAGCAACGTAATGTTTGTGACGTAGTCAGGACTCGTTTCGTTTAGGAGGTTAATGAACGGGCATCTCTGTCCTGTTCATGCCATGCAATTAGCACTGCGCTGTATTCGACAACGTCGAATGCTTTCTTGTGGTCATTGAAGGCAACCTACAAAAGGAACTAGCGTTCCCTCGCTATTTGGAGGATTTAATTTAATGCAAGGATATTATCCGTTGTGATGCAATTCCCTTGCAACCCTGCCTCTTATTTCGGCTGTTGTTTGTCCAGATGTTTTGACAGTCTGTTGGTGAGGAACCTAACGGATGGTTTATAGATTTGTGCGAGCTAGCAGAACAAACGATAATTGAGCAGCACAAATGTTTTGACTCGTTCTAACTTGATGATCTTTTTGTTTTCTAAGTTGCGACTCAACCTGTCCACTAAGGACCTCTATAGCGTCCGACTCCATGTTCTGATCATTGCAGTTGTCCTTCCTTCATTTGCAGCGCGGCATGCTGAACTTCGCTTAGGAGGATCTGCTTTTCACCTCTTTCTTACTTTTGGACTGACAAACGGGGCGTGTATATTTTACTCAAATAACGAGGTACAAAAGTTCTTGCACACAAAGTGTATCTCAGCACTTTCCGAGGTTACTGTGTCATTTCCGTTCTTCAACGCCGCGCCGTGATAGACGACTGATAGAGGGCTAACTCTCTCCCGCACTCTATATGGCTTAGGCAGTTGTCGGTTGTTTTCTCTAATTTTGCAACAGGATGGCTCTAAATCATCCGTTTAGCACGACTCATTTGCTACTAGTCAATTAACTTACTGATGTACTTGAAGTATTGCGCTTTAAACGCTGCCACGATCCACTAGCCGGATTTAGTCTAAATCTGATTACAATTTCTGATGATTTTGATGCTGCAGACTTGATCTGAAGCGTACATCCTGGGATGCCTAATTTCGTAATACATCTTATGGAAATTAAAGTATGTTGGTCAGGTTAAAGCTTCCCTTTTCCTCTTGGTTGACCAAAGCACATCAAGCAGCGTCTAGAATTTCTGCTAGTCCAGCAGTGAGTCGTCATTTTTTATTCAACGGGCAGATGCCATGTCAAAACTATATCTTCGATGTTTTATGGCATATCCCAAGATTAACACGGACGCTGGCATGCAATCATCCCGTCTGTTTTAAACCTTTATGTTGTAATGATTTGCATACGGTATTGCAACGATATGATGTACTTGTCAGTTTTAATCTAACCTGCTCTTTTTCGAAAGTACTTTTTTCAATATATTGTAACCCTTAATGACAAAATTTGGAGCCTCCATTTTTGTCTGCATTAGAATAAAAATTTTCCCGGAAATACAATTATCCTTTTTCTGATGATGTTTTTGAAACTATGAAGATGCACAACAAAAATATGACGTTGACAGACAACTTTCAACTTGTTGTTGTTGCAAGTTTGTCTGACCGGCAGGCAAGTGATTATACATTGAAACTGACCGGCAGAGCGGTAGGACATAATGAGGAGGTTCTTGGAACAACATGAAATACACCTAAGCATATAATTACGTAAAAATTTGCCTCATTTTAGGAAATGGCTGGCTAGAAAACAGTGTACTGATGTTTATGGCGACCGACCATGGCCAAAGCATGGCAGAGTACGGTCGAACCGAGCAGGGAACAGTTGACGAACATCAGGCGTTTTTCGGCATTTATGTGCCATCGATATTTAAGTCCAAGTATCCAGATGCTGTGCAAAATCTTCTTCTGAACGTCCATCGACTGACTACTCCTTTCGATATTTATGCCACTTTGCGTCACATGATTAATTTTACAACTCCTAAATTCGGCGACCTGTCGCAAAAAGGAATTTCACTGTTCGACGAAGTGCCCAAAGAAAGATCTTGCGCTGATGCAGGGATTAAAGCTCATTTTTGTCCCGCCGTCCGTTGGTCGAATGTGCCTGTGGATGACGCAGTTGTAAAGCGCGTTGCAGCGGCGATTGTCAACAAGGTAAACGGACGCACTGCCAAAGAAAGAGCCCTTTGCGCAGAACTAAGTTTGTCAAGGATAATCAGGGCTTCAGAAGCTACAGTCAGAGTCAGAGAGGTAGCAACAAAAGTTGAGGAAATGCCAGATCCGATCGGTACCGCCAGAGCGCTTGATAAACTTTATAAAGTGCACATCGTGACAGATCCAGGAGACGCTCGTTACGAGGCTTCCGTTGTGGTCAGAGACGTAAACAAAGTTCTGGTCGACCTCGACTCCGTATCGCGCATCAACCTATACAAAGATATCCCGCACTGCCTCATTGACCTCATGGACGGAGACGTGTATTTGGCGAAGTGGTGTGTCTGCTCTGATAAGATATCTTAGAGAACTACCTGCATTTATTGTATATTGTTAAAATGCTTTTTTTAAATTACGCTGTGTGAAATGTTGAATGTTTGCGGGTTCAGAATTTATTATGATGATGTTTTATATAAAATTTGTGGTTTTGAAAATATTATACACAAAAATAAAACCCCATCTTATAGGTTTACTAGCATATTGCTAGTTGTCAATACCGCCGCTAAGATAAATAATCCTTTGCACTTTCAATACCGGATTGAAACGGCGAAAGCGCCTTCCCTTTGCTTCTAATCGCCCAGGGGACCATTTAAGCACGCCACGGCTCCATGGTATTTGAGCACCTGCAGTGCATGGGTGCAGAACCGCATCACTAGGCAGGACCGAACAAACGATTAAGATATTACTTTAATTCTTCATGCGGACGGAAAGTTTTGATCGTCATAATCTTCAGACTGCTTATTCCGCATATAGATGTTATCGACATCTCAGACAGAGTCGAGTCCATCTTCAGTGGGCATTACGTAACAACAAGCGTAGTAGACAACGTTGGCCATGCCGTGTGTTCAGTGGAATAATCTTAAAGTGGTATATACATAATCAGCAAATATATGGCATAATATATAATTATGCCATCTGATATCATAAGTATCATTAGTCAATCGTATATGTCCGAATATGTCAAATAATGAATGCCTCCTCCAAGATCAGGTTACAAGGCGTATTGCGCCGCCTTTTGTTCCTAATTCTGTTGGAGGCTCATTTGAGCAAACCAAGGCTCCATAGCATTTGAGAACCCGCAGTGCCAGATGTATCTCGCATCATTTTGTCCTCTGTGTCACCTCATGCGATATCTGTACGGTAACATGTAGGGAGCAGCAGCGTTGTGATGATCGTGAACGCGTATATATTGACACCATATATCGGATATATTGATAACAAGTACTAGAAGGTATTGTCAAGCTGATGAAAACTCATAATGCCAGGATTCTGAATGAATAATGATAAATAAACATTCCATTTTCAGGCTTATAGTCGCTGATTCTGCAACCTAAGTGTTAGTTTCAAATCATTATTCATCCCCAATGTTCGCACTTTAATGTTCGAAACTTCCACTAAAGCAGCGACCCAAAATGCGAGATATATTGCGTGAATGAAAAACGTGTGGAATGACATGCCCACAGTTTCGATACACACGCGGATCTAAGTAAATCAGCGGTTTATATATATAAACTATTATTGAAGTGTTTCCGGGTTTGCCGGGCATTTTCCGCCACAAACACTGTAGCACTGTCGTTGACATGAATTTTCCTGTTCAAGATTGTGCTGAAAATATTTTAGTTACCTATGTTTATGCCAGAGAGATATTATGAGAAGTTCTTTTACTCATTATGCCATTGTAACTACAGTACGACCAGGATTATGAGCAGCCAATCGTTCGTCTATCATTAGAAATTCCATGGACAGTGAAAGATCTACCAGGTACCCTGTCATAGGTACCATATTATTTTCCATCCTGATCACATAAAAAATAACTTTTTGAAATCACGTAAACACAGTTCATAAAAAGCAACTCCAAAGTCGTCGATTTTGCAGGCAATAGGTAATCGCCGCTTCGATGTTCTTCACCAAAGTTCGGCTAGAATACTTCGGTTCTCATCTGAAGAACCGGTGAATTTTGGTTGACTCGATAAAGATACCAGCTCTCTCTCTCAAAGCATTACTAATATCCACCAAAGTTGGCAAATTCGGTATGTGGTCATTCTGCGTACTGTCGCATGGCTTTATCCTC